TAACACCATAGACATGTCATAGGGCAGCCTTTTTATGTATTGTTTTAAAACACATTAGAAACTGGGTCTGGTACTTTGTACCATAATCCTAGCACTGAGTAGGATAAAATTGGATGAATCCTGTGAGTTTCTATTACAATAAAAATAATATATAAAAAGAAAATCAGTAGTGGGGCCAGAGATATGACTCAGCAGTAAAGTGCACCTGTTGCTCTTCCAGAACACCCATTTCCCAGAACCTAAGAAGATGCTTCAAAATCACTTGAATTCTGGTTCTGGCTCCAGTAGATCTAATATGTTTGGCCTCCGTGGGAACCTACACACATGTGCAAATACTCACGTGCAAACACACACACCTACACATATTTTAAAATAATAAAAATTTAAATACATTCTAGAAGTCCCTAGCCTCAGAATAAGATAAAAAGCTTGGCTTTTTACTCTGACTTAAAACAATTGTCCTAAGTTCACTGCTTCGTTTTCCTTCTCCATGAAACTAAGTGTCGAGGAAAGACCAATGGTGTTGAGCAATCACCCTCAAGACCCACTCACTGCCAATTTTTGAAGCTCTCTGTGTGATGTGAATGAATAACAAGGGTTGAAAAACAATGCATTAAACGGTCACTTAGGTAACAGCAAAACTCTGGCTTTATAATTCATGTAGCCATAGTATCAATGGCTACAGATAGTAAAGTCTCAGGATTTACAGAGTTCCAAAATGCAGAGACTGTAATCAAAGACTTTCTACTCAAAATTAAGAACAGTTTCTCATCTGAACTCTCTAAACCTGTATATCATAAGCAACTTAAAACGCGAACCACTTATACATAATTATTTGAGTGCAATATATGTTTAAAGAAATAATGTCAATTACTTAAGCCTTATAGAAACAAAGACGTTCTGCTGGGAGAAAGCTGCTCACTGTTAGCTGTCGTCTGCTCAAAACTTTCATTTTTCTACCATGATGCTGGGTAAAGAAGGTATAATTCTTCCTGTGAAGGATATATAATCAGAAACCCTATATTCAAAGTTACTGTTGTAATTTTTGATTTTAAAGTAAGTGGGCTCAATAAACTAAGTGGTAATAAACTTTCTAAATTTTAACCCATCATATTAAAGACAGCTTATTGAGATATATGAGAAAGGATGGCTGATTCATAAAAGAATAAAGTGGAACATCTACTTGTACTGATTTTTCTTAAGATTAAATCTACAATATCCCGAAACAGTTTTGAAACATTTCACTACAAATTTTGCTAGTTTTTTAAAAGCTAAACAATTTTTATAACAACAAGCAGTTAATTTCTCCTTCAATTTCAATGTGTAATTTTAAGCAATAGAGGATATATACAAATGCTATATTTTTTAAAGAATAAATTTCAAAATTACAACCAGCAATGTGATCCAAAAATCATCCATGTAGATGCTCAGAAAATTGGATAAAGACCTCAAATAAATATTAAGTTATAAAGTAAACACAATTAGACTTATTCTTACATTCTATTGCATTTTCAGTGCACTTTTAAATCCTTGGGGCAGAAAAATGTTCTCCTTCTTTTAGCCAGCCTAGTAATAGCAAGAAAGACATGTGCAGGTGACAGCTAATAGCTAACACTGATGAATGTAGGTGTAGCCAACAAAGAATCCACTGGTTGTGTGGAATTTCTGCAAGCGTAGCTGTGTTTAAAGACTATTTGAAAAAAATTACATAATGTACAGAAAGACATTATGAAATGGAAATGTATGATTTTCAGTAGAATGTTAATACCTATATCATCCTTGCATCTACTTCTGACTTTATGGGTCTGTTATTCAATTATATCTTTACATTTCACAAGTATTTCAGTGTCTGATGTGTCCCGTTTGAATGACAACCTAAGCTTCACATTAAAAAAAAATCACAGTCACACCTTTTCTTGCATCATGAAAATTATAACAGAGGAATAATAATGTGATGGTCAGAACAGTGAAGATGTTTAAAAACATGTCCTATACAACACAGGACAATAATTTCCCTTCTCATTAGCTCAACCACCTATCAGTTTGTTTTACAGTATAACATTGAAATCAATCAGATATGTGGGCTGTGCTTTCAAAGAACTTTAGACAGTGAAAGTAAGACTTGGAAAGTTTGAAAATACAGGTAATACATACCAGAGGTTTTATAATAATGGTTAGGGATAGGTTAATAATTGAAAACCAACCAAAAGTTTTATGGGGTTGGAGATGTAGCTCAGTTACTCATGTTTATAGAGCATGAACAAAGTCCTGAGTTCAGTCACTGGCACTATATAAACTGGCCATGATGGCCCATGCCTGTAATCCCAGCACCCAGCAAGCAGAGGCAGGTGTATCTGAAGTTTTCATGGTCATCCTCAGCTGTATTCAGAGCTTGAGGCCAGCTTGATCCAGGTGGGAGCCTGGCCTCTTACATAAAGGAGATCTCAGTCATAAAATTGCTAGGCGTTTTATGAAATGCTATATACTTTAGCATCAGAATGACATCCCTCTTTTGTGACTCAACTTTTAATAGTAACCAGATGTAGAACTTGACAGCTCCTCTCTCACCTTTTCAGATCATCTCTCCTACCACTTGATCCAAATTCTGCTGTCTTCCTGCCGGATTTAGTACATTATGTTTTGTATTTTCTTTTAAATCAGGAAAAGCATTTTAAACCGTATTTAGTAGTTCATACATTATTGTGCATAAGATAAAATCATTACAGGGGTGTTACTTTAGAGGAAGGCTAAAGGTGATAAAGTCTCAAGAGGATACACATGAAAAAGGCATGGGGCATGTTGAGGAGGAGCACAGGGAAGAGTCAAGGATTCTCACTTAGGAATCAGTTGCCTGGGGCTAGTGAAGGTTGGCCATGCAATCACTGTACAGAGTAAAGCAAATGGGCACATTTTTCTAAAGATGTCTTGTAAATTTTACATGATCTTTGGAGACTAGCAACTTTGTATTGAATCCAAACTTTGCATTTGACAGTCAGAGTACAATGATGTTAATTTCTTGAGTAATGAACTCTCGTTACATGCACATAAATATGTAACTTTGTCTCCTTTGAGGTCTTGGTTGCAGTAAAGTTCTTTTCCTTTAAGATATTGGGTTCATTTCTTGGACATAAATTCATCATGTGGAAGTCATAAGTGCTAGACTCCATCTTGAGAGGACAGTTATTTCATTGAAGTCAACCTGCCTTCCAGAGCTAATAACACAGTTGTAGCATTTTAAAACATGTCAGCTTCTTAAGGGTATCTTCTTCTTTAAACTTTGACCAGTTGAGATAAATGTTTTTCATTTTGGCCTTGATTGATTGTTACACACACACACACAGAGTAAGAGAGTACAACTAATGAAATAAATTGTTTACTACATGCCTATGATTATTTAGAATTATACTTTGAAACAGTTATACTAGAAGTAAAACTACGTTTAGTTTTAAATTTTAATTTGGCATAGAGAGATATCATGGAAGATATACAAAAATTTGAAGTGACCAACATTCTGAAATTTTCTATTAAAATTGGTCATAATTGTTACCTAATGGTTCTCAACTATAGTCTGTTCCTTCTTGATATCGTCCCACAAATATCAAAAAAGGCAACACTATAGACACCAAAAAGGGACAGTGTAAACTGTACTCTGTAGCTTAAGTGGGACATCTAAGTGACAGAGAGAAACCATCGCTGATCTCAAACACACTATCTGTGCATTTAACCCAGTGGCCTCAGGCATTAAGAAATGCAAAAGGCAAAACCAACAGTACCTAGAAACTAACACTAAGCCATGTGGTTGTTTATTTTCCCCCTTCAAGTTTTGGAGTCATTTTTAACACAAATAGTAACTTGACTTAAATTCTAAATACACTCATACATACAGGTTTCCTCGCTGGAGAGTTTCCATGCCTGGGGGAGGGGAGGTGACAATTGGTGCATTCTATCCAGCGCACGTGTAATGATAATAAAGTTGATTGGTTGAGCCTTGAAGCTCCCTCCCCCCCCCACCTTTTCTCTCTTTCTATAGAGTAGTTCAGCAGGGGGTGACAGGGCTCTCCCCCATAGCCACCAGCTCTACTAACAAGACGTAGGTTGATACCATTTTTATTGTTCTGCTGGGGTGGGAAAGAAACCATATGCTTTAGCATTTTAAATGGCTACACCAAAGAGAAAACTGAACCAGGCCCCCTCCCCCATCCTGCTGGACTTTGGGGTGGGTTTTTTTCTAAATATTCAGTGGACTTGGTTTTAGCCGAATGCCTCTTCTCCCGGACAAAGAGTCCTGAGGGGAAGAAATCTTAAGGGCTTTAGAGGAGCATGGGATTAAGTGAAACGTGGAGTGGGAAGCTTACATCTGAAACCCACCCCTCCCCTGGATACCAGGCAAAGGCAGTGAGAGTCGGAACCAGCTGATGCTTCTTCCCGTTTCCAGGGTGAAATTTTCACAGCAGCTAATTCTAAAGGGAAGAAAAATCCCCTTCCAGCAGCGGAGAAGATCCTATCACCCAACCCAAGCAATGTAACCTTTTAGGCAGGCTTTTTAGAGAAATCCGCATTTTAAAAGACAGCATTCACGGTCCAAACCACGGGCCTGGAATCAGAGCTGGTATGAAAATATGAAAAGCCTCTTTACACTCTGAGTGTTTGAAACGATCCGATGAACATAGCAAGTGTCTGCCAACGCTCAGCGGCTGCTGGTGCCGCTGCTGCCGCCGCCGTTCCTCTCAGAGGGCTGGACAGAGCTAGTCCTGATTTCAGCACCTCCGGCGCTGGACAGCTCCCTGCACGCCGCACCACCGCCTGCTTGCTTTTTTCCCACTCTGGCTTTGCATTACTGGAGATGCATCTAAATTACGTCCTGTTCAACAACAAGTAGATTTTTTTTTTCCTGTACGGGAATTACAGTAGGCGATTCTCTCAATTAAACTGCATTTTCTTCTTTACGGACTTGGCTGTCAGGCGTATTTATCCCGATCTCCCCTCCACCCCCTTTGCAGGAACGAGTCTTTGGGAACGTGGTCCACCCAGGGATGTAAAACTGTGCTTACCGATGCATCCCATACGAAATGCTTATGTGATCGGCTCTCTACCTTCGCCATTTTGGCTCAGCAACCTAGAGAAATAGTAAGTAACAAAGGGAAAACACGGCTTTAATGCAAAGGCAGGGACATTGTGGCGAGTGTTTCTCCAGGGGACTGCATTTCAAAGGGGGAAATAGAAAATTGTTGCAGGGTGGCAAAATCGGGTTCTTCTCCTCAGCTACAGTAGCTTGGAGGAATGAATTCTAGTTGGTGTGCGATAACTAAATTCTACTCAATTCTATGTCTCATAACTTGGTATTTCTGCAGTCTAGCATTGAAGATGTACTCTGATATCACTAGTATTCTGCAAACTTTCATATAAAAAATAATTGCCAACTCAACGTTTATTTTAAAGCTGGAGGGCTGTTCTGGGAGAATTTGTGACAATGCTGTTAGGAGTAGAAGGAAGACCCCAGACACTACAGCTGAACACATTGCATATCTGCATTGGACATTTTCAGTACAGGTTTTCTGAGGGTGTCCTTGGATACATGTGTATTTTTAAATCAAATTAAGTTTTCATGGAGACGTGGTTGTTTGGAACTGTAAAAGCATTCCTTAAAAGCATGTAGATTTTTGCAAAAGGAAAAAGAAATAGTTTCTGACAGAGAGAGCTGTACAGAACCGTCCAAAAGAAAAATGATGTTTTACCAAATGTATTTTGAGAAAATTTTACAGAAAATTGAAATAATAACAAATAAATGATCTGATAAAATACGATTCCTGCCTAAATTTGGCCTAGACATCACTCCTTTTACTTGTTTTAATGATTAATATACCTAATAATTTGATAGAGATTTTGTGGCACACTTAGTGTATTGCTTCAAACTTAACTTCTAATATAAAAATTTATGAAAAACAGCTGACTTCATTAGTTATGGACATGTTACTGTCTAAGAAAAGAAGCCATTTGGATCAGTGGATGTTTGTACTATGTATATAAAAGATTTTAAAAGCTATAAGCTTATTTTTCAAGGTCATGGTTTTAGGGACTGATACTGGCACTATGGAAATTATCTCCACATACTTTGTTCATAAGAAAAATATCTGTGAAGATCCTAAGTACAGCATTCCATTTTCTTCTTATTCTTGAAAGCCAAGCAAGTAAAAATTAATGTGGGAATACTTGACTCAGAACAAAGTTGTCAAAAGTCAGAAAGTTTCAGGTTTTCAGTAACTGTGTACCATCGTGATTTGTAAATAGGAGTAGCAAGGCAAATCGTACCGAGAATCATATGGTGAAATGATTAACCTGTACTTAGTTGGGGTGAGGGGCACAGCAAAAACCTGCTGCTTCCAATTTCACTCAAAGGAAATTTCACCTGTGAATGATGATTCAGTTGTAGTTTGGGGTCCTTGCGAAAACTTTAAGTAAAAAATGGGGCTGTAATTAAACATTTTAAACTCTGAAGACTTCATTACTTCACAGTGTGAGAGAAAGGGGAGCTAGACTTAGTCATTTTGGAGCTTGAGGATGTGTAAACCGAGTGTTCTGTGGTTAATTATCTGGTAACTATAACAACTATTTATGCTATTCTTGAGTGATAGCTTAGTATCTCCGAGTTTAGAATTTATTTTTATTCATGTCAAATTTCTCTTTCTTTTCTTTTTTCCCCCTTAACTTACAGGTCATGGAATCTTCTGGGACCCCTTCAGTAACTCTCATAGTAGGCAGTGGCCTCTCCTGCCTGGCCTTGATCACCTTGGCAGTTGTCTATGCAGCGCTATGGAGGTATGTAATGAATGAGTAGACTCGAGATGGAGAACTCGGTTTCAGTGTGTTAAAGTCTTCGTCACATATTGAAAGCAGCATTTTTGTAACAGAATTAGAACTTCTGTAATTGAACTGGAACACAGGAAACATATTAGCTAACTTTATTCCCTTTATTTGTCTGTGGTAAGAATAGATAAATGGAACACACATGCCTACTTTTCTTCCAGCTGATATGATGGTAGATTTCAACAAGTTCCTCACATGTAAGCACAACTCTCATATGTTTCAAGTTCCTTCTCTGTGATATACTGTTTATACCCGTTGCTGTTTGTACAGTCAAAGTTCTCTCTGCAGGAATAGGATGTCAAGTTCTCAAGTGCCAGACATGATTTCAGTATGTCCTGCACAATGAGTAAAGACTGCTCTGATGTTAAAAGCATTAAGAAAATCCCGATGTTCTCTACAAAAGGTCACATACTTTAGTGTTTGGTGTGAGTCAGATTTTGAGCAAGTTTGATGAAAAGATATCATAGAAATAGGAAAGGGAATTATTGGGAAATTTTCTCTCATATTTTAAATTGCATCTATTTCATAGTCTGTTGAAATTTAATATTTTTTTCTGGGTAATTGCTAGGTAATTGTTTAGGATGCTAGTAAGAATTGGGCCTATGAGGTTTGGTGTGTCTACTCAGGTATTGACAACGTATATGTATGTACCATATGACCAAACTTTTAAGTGGATTTTATAATTTTAACAGTTAAAGGCGTTATAACCATTGTCATTGCTAAGGTGGTCTAAAATGCAGTATTACATTAGTATGCAGATAATTATCTATTGTTTCCCGACTATTTGATATATTTAAAATTGCAAAAGTTGATGTGCCTACCTCAAAGCCTTTTATGTTTTCTTAGGGTTTTACACAATTATTTGAAAAATTAAAAATCAATTACTATTTAATATGGGATATTTATTTAGATTAATATTGATATTTAAATAAAACATTTCTGTCCATTGTGGCTTTCACTCTCTCGAAAGAAAGAATTAATTGTGAAAGATATTTAAATAGTCAAAGACATTAGGATTTTTTATGCTTTGTGAAAAAATAGAGTGTGTATACATTCAGGCCTGGGTAAATAACAGAAGTTCTTCATCACTGCAATATTATGGTACAGCAGAGAAACACTGACATAATGGTGAAAAAGGAAATTTGAAAGATGCCTGCTATTGGGATGACATTGTTGATAACAAAATTGTATGTTCAAAACTCAATCAGGCTGTTGTGCTGTAAAAACAAACTGACAGGCTTGAAGAATCCAACTTTCCATGAGTGAAGGACAATGCCTTTTTTAAAAACATGAAGCAATTGGCTAAGATATTAGGTAATCATAATAACATTATAATTCTTACCCCACTGGAGTCTAGAAGTAAATTCAGTTTTCAGCAGTTTCTGTTTATGTGTCAATTCTACCTTCTGTCATGCCCCTCCCCCTCTTTCTCTTCACACACACACACACACACACACACACACACACACACACACACGAATGGCCAAAATCAGTATATGATATATTTGTTGATTGATCTGAATTTTTCTAAAATTCAGAAAAGACAGAACAGTCACTTACTACAACGAAATTCTAGGAATTTCTGAAAATCATCAAAGTGTCTATCAAAATCTAGACTGATGTTGAGAATTACAGAAAAGAGTACCAAGCAACCGCACAAATCTGGATTGCTAAGACTTAAGTGGTCATCACTTTATCATTTATCCATTGGAAAATTGAAATAATAATTACTTCTTGAAAGAAGTGTGAAGACTCATGAGTTTCTCAATGGATCTTGGAGCAAGATCCCTTCAAAGTGCTTTATAAACACCAACAAGTACATAGTCCCTAAAACATTTTGATTCAGCTGAAAGAGTGCTGGGAATCTTCCTACCTTTTTCTCTAATAAAAATATTTAGGGTTAATTTTTTCTAGTGATTTCTAAAATGAAGTATCAAGCAAATTACCAGTTGATATGCTGGTTTGAAACTTGGAGTTGCTCCATGTAGTGCTTTCCAGATGTTTCTTTTTTTTTTCCTTTTTCTTTCTTTCNTTTTTTTTTTTTTTTTGGATTTTCTAGACAGGGTTTCTCGGTAGTTTTTTTAGTGCCTTTCCTGGAACTAGCTCTTTTAGACCAGGCTGGTTTCCAGATGTTTCTTAACAACTAAGAAGGCTGAAAGTGTGGCTTAGTGGCAGTGCCTGCCTTGCATTTGTGATCCGCTTGATTTCAGTTCTCGGAGATATCACTTTCTTTGCCATTAACACTTTTGGTTATCATGATTATGTTGATAATTTAACAATAATAATACATTAAGCTCTTTTCTCTTCGTCTAGCCATACATCTAGTTAAGACACACTGTTGCATCAAAAAGCAATCCAGCACATCCTCTCAGTCATAATAATAATGATGATAATAATAATAATAATAATACATTAAGCTATATTCTCTCCCTCTAGCTATACAACTAGCTAGAATACACTGTTACATCAAAAGGCAATCCAACTTGTTCTCTCGGTCAACTTATTGACACAATTTTCACAAATTCACAAATTTTCTTTAAAATATAAAATGTCATATGAGAACGTGTAAAGTAGTAACAATTCTTAACAGAATTTAAGGCAATAATATGACTAGGTATTATTAAGAAAAGGAAGCATCTCAATAGCATTTGGGGCAGCCAGTTGGTCTTTTATATTTATCAGTCTGGGTTTTGTTTTGTTCTTCTGTTTATAAACAGAAAATGTCACTGAAATCCTTTTGATGGTGTCAAGATGTGTGTTTGTATCATCATGGAAGCCATTAACATCAGAAAAGATTTATAGCCTTCATCCACAAAAAAAAAAAAGAACAAGAGAATATTTGTTGCTACCTTTAGCAGCCCAGTGTATGATTTGTCATATGTTTAGATATTCAGAATGCAGGAGCAATAGTCAACAACTCTTGAAGCCTATTTTGTGCTATCAACCTAGATTAGTCCAATTTGTGAAGAAAATTTCTCTTACATTATGAAACCTACTTTTTGTGTTTTGGTGGTTTGTTTTTTGTTTTTTGCTTGTTTGTTTTGTTTTGTTTTTGTTCTTTTCAAGACAGGGTTTCTTTGTAGCTTTGGAGCCTGTCCTGGAACTCGCTCTGTAGACCAGGCTGGTCTGAAACTCACAGAGATCGGTTTGTCTCTGCCTCCCAAGGGTTGGGATTAAAGGTGTGCGCCACCACCTCTTGGCTTGGTGTTGCTTTTACTTTGCTTTAATTTCCTTAGTGTGTGACTGCTGCCTACACACTCTTGAAAGATAAAGTGAGAAAATGGAAAGAACGTTGTGAGATTATAACTTTCATAAAGTTCCTCCAGATCTTTGGTTTGTCTATCTATCATTGCATAGAAAATCCTATACCAGCTATGGAATGAGGTCCCCTGTTATAATACAAATATAACAGACCAAGACACACATCGTGTACAGGATTCTTTTACAGTATTGGTACTTAGTGGCAATCCTAGGGTACAGTTAAGCAAAATAACTGCTGCCCTTTCAGGGTAAACAGCTGGTGGAACCTTTGATTCTGAACAGCTTTTGCTGTTACTTACATTCTTAGTGCACTTTAAATCATATAACAGATATATATATATACATACATACATACATATATATTCTTCCTAAGTGTAAAATATGGCTGTCACCAAGAGTATTCCAGTCTAATGGTAAATGATCGCTTGAGATCATTTTTATCTATAAAGACTTCTGCTACTTCTTTTTCTTGAAAGAGACATTCAAGGACATAAGAAACAGCCTAGCTACATAAAAATGCTTGAGTAGCTGCTGATGTCCATGGCTTCACAAAAAGTAATGCATCCTTCTAGTATATAGGAGAGTTGTTTCAAAATCTGGGTGGGGTTTTACTGTTGAACCTCAGTGTTTCTCTTGGTTGATATAGATATTATAAATATGTATGTGCATATGTAAGAAAGAGATTCTAATGGTTAATGTAATTCTAAGAAATTACATTCACTAGGACAAAAGAAAGCATTGTTCTCATGTATGTACAAGTTAGGTTCTCTCAATTATGACACATCACAGAAAAAATAACTCTAAAGGTTTCTTGCACATGCCATGTACTCTGAAATTGGGTACCTAAGGAAATATATATGAAAAATGGTTTTCCATATCTCTATATGAAACCTGGGGTCAAATTCCTTTTTTGAGTTAATTCCACTAATTATATGACATAAAATTTGTCAAGTTTCTTTCTCTCTCTCACCAGGTACATCCGCTCTGAGAGGTCCATAATTTTAATTAACTTCTGCCTGTCTATCATCTCATCCAATATTCTCATACTCGTTGGACAGACCCAGACGCACAATAAGGTATGATTGCTAATGCCTCCGATTCTATGTGTGCATTAGTTTCAGCATATAGTTGGTTACTGATTTGTCTAAGTATTTATTCCGAGTAACTATTGAAATACGTGATTTTAATTATCCCTTTAGTTTCTGAATAAATGAATAACTAAATACAGCCTATTACAGTCAACAATCAATCTTTGGTTGGCTTACAATTATTTAGTGCTGTAGACTGTATCATACTCAGAAAATGTGTTTAACGTGACATCAAAGCTGTAAGTCTTGAAAGCATTGAGACACCAACAACCAATATCTTTTATTTATTGTCCCAATTGTGTAGCATTCAAATTGAATTCAACATAATGTCTGTGTTTAGGTCTAATTTATTCACATACCAATTACTAAAATGACTGTATCAATGAATTATAATCATAGCATCCCTGAAAATCTACCTCCAAAATAGTGAAGATACAGTAGTCACAGCATCTACAACTATGTCTAGCCCTTTGGGAAATTTTCTTTGCTGAAAGCATTGTGATACCTAAGCAAAATTGTAGCTATTTAAGCTTATAACTACTTTTTTGTCAGAGTGGAACTATATGTCCTAGCTTTGGGAATTGACAAGTGTATATTGGTTGAATGTCCTTATTTTCTTCCATATGACTATCTGTAGTGAACTGTTCTGCCGGAAACCCAGCCACAAGTTAATTTACCCAGGCCTCATTGTCTTAGAAGTAATTAAAAAAAATCTTATTGCAAACACCAAAACCAATAGTTAAAGTTAAACACTCCAATACTTCTTTTTAGAAGCTTTTATAACCAGACTATGTCTGGTTACCCTACTCCTTACAACCCTAAGATTCATAATTCCTACCCAAGGAATCTATTCTGAGTCTGAATAGGGCCACGGAAGTATACCTTTCTCCTTGAACCACATTGCTCCAGACCAGAAAAACCCAAGGGTAAGGTGCTAATCCTTAAGACAAACCAAAACAACCCGTTAGCCTAGAAAATAAAAACTAGTTCCATGTTCTTGAGTTTTTAATACGTTTCTTTTCTCTTTTTCTTCACAAAGAGATAAAAGAAAAGGAAATTTATTAAAATCTAGTACGTGGCCTTGTTAGGAATAAGTAATGTAACTTCTTAGAAGAAATCAATAAGAGAATGGAGATAAGAGAGCCAGAAAGGAAGACCAGCAGCGAACAAGAGACCAATTAGAATAGGAAAGAAGGAAGAAGGCACAAAAGTACCTGAGTTGAAAAGATGAAGCTGAACATACATCTCAGATTAGAAGGAAAGGATTGTTGGAAGACGTGAAGGCAAAGGAAGCAGAGAGAAGGAAGAGGGTGGTGTGAAGTCTGTTACCATCCTTTCCTCCTCTTTGCATCCTCCCTGTGTGTGGAGCAGATATTCTTTGCTCACTTAGTCCCTAGTCTCAGTTCATTAACTGACTGTTTTTGAACTTCCCCATGCAAAAGAAGTGCTTCCCAGAGTCCAGGAACCAGGAAAAACAAATCAAACCAGAATCTATTTGAGATTGAGCCCACTTTGAAGGTTTTCATATAAAATGCTTACTTCCCATTACTTTTTACATCCTAAATTCTAGGGTTCTGCCTCTCATTGCACTGTGGAGAACATTTATGTTCAGTAGGATATATGCTTTTAAAAACTATTTCATATGATGTAACAAGAAGTTACTAGTGCAACTAGTAGAATAGATCTTTCTATAATGTTTATTAAGAAATTTATTATTAAGGTTCTGACCTACATCTTGCCTCACCTATAGAAATACAAATCTAACCACATCCATAACTTACATTTTTACTGACTAAATTTTGAAAGTGAAAATGAACAATTGAAATCATTGAAAGATGTCATATTTAACTCACTATACCTATAACATTACTATTTAACAATGTAATTAATATAAAATTATTAGTAGAATATTTTGTCACCTCAAGTCTTCATAGTCTGGAGTATATTTTAGTACTTAAATTTAGTACTCATTTGAACTAGCTACATCTGTATTTTTCAATGGTAACACATGGCTAATGACAACCATATTGTGATTGTGTAGATCCAAATGTTAGCAATATCCAGAAGCTAGAATGTTCAAAAACAAATGAACAAAATATTCTCCTTACATGTCCATTTTAGCCTTTTCAAGGTTTTTGTGTCCTCATTTTAAAAATAGTATCTTTTCTTGGTGCTTTCAAATATTTTGAATGTCAGAGGCAAGATAAGACAAGCCTTGCTTTCCTTTTCATTTCTGATTGTGCGAAATGGCTGATGTGTGCTTATTAAAAACTAAAGAAAAGTTTTCTATGGTATGGTTTCTCCCCAGGAAACTAGCTACAGAATGGGTTTCATGTGGTGTTGGAACCATAGTGGGCTTGTTCCAGATTGACGATGCTAATTTTTGTTGCTAGTTATTGATGCTTGTGGGGAGGAGTGGCTAGTAGGTGGTGATGATCATATGGTTTTTCTCTTATTCTACATTAATTTTGTGTTATTGGTTCTGCATTGATGTTCTTACAAGCTTAGAGCTATTAATATTAGAATTATAAGGAGATTAAAAATGGAAAAAAATGAAATTTTATTCTAAATCATTCGAAACAATATCAGATTTCCTAGGGGGAACAATTATGTATCTGATACATGTTTTGGGTCTAATTAAATTGAACATACTTGATTTTATAAGTGTTTTGGTATGTGACGTTGTTGCCATACAACACGGCAAAAATGTGTATTTTTTATATAAATATAACCTATATAAACTCAAAGGAAAGAAAATTTAAAAATAGTGACTAGTAGCCAAATGGGTCTTATTTGTTTTGGGGTTATCTGTAGGACTTCTTTGCTGCTATAGATGATTTGTAATTGGTCTGATTCCTATGTTTGACTTTTCTGATAAGTTTTGACTAGGGCTTAAATATTCCCCATTTGAAAAAAAAAAGGAAACGTAGGAGAAAGAATCTTGATGAGCAAATTATCTGGTACTACTATCTTGTCTACTTTGTGTGAAAACTGGCATTTCCTGCTGCTGTCCAGCACCGTGCTGAAGGGTTGAAGTGTAGTTTCTCCCGACTCTCTGTTGAAATATAATTGACCTGATTAGCACGCTGTGCTCTCCGCTTGCTTTTGAATTGGAGTAGAAACAATCCAAAATAATCCACTGTTTAAAAGATGAGTACACTCAATATTTAAACTAGAGATTCAACAGCTGGCAGTAAAATAAGGAACCAAAGGTACTATCTTATCTCCTCTTAAAACGCTATTGTAAAATTTAATTATAACTTGCTTCATTGTATTTTGAGCTTTTCTCATAAAGTATCTTGGCCCTTTGATCTCTTTATACATTTAAAAACCTCAACCAGGATATTCATGTTTCAGTCAGATTGACTGGCCATGAGTTTATATCATAAAAAGGCCTGTGTAATTCTGTAGTTTTAATAGATTATTTTTGATGTTGTCTGTTACTTTGCAGTAAGCAATGAATGTTTCAGATACAGATAAACTCAGAAAATAGTTTACTTGTTCACCAAAATTTCCCCAAATATTTTTGTTTTGTTGCAAAAGTGTGTGATGTGCTTCATCATTCCAAGATTCCACAGAACTCAAGAGAATGAAGCAAAGTTGGACAAAATTATTTTTGTTGACTACCATGGTAGTTATGTAATGATAAGCAAACAAGAAGTTGAGTGTATTTGAAGATAGCTCAGTGTTAGCATCTTAACCTTACTACTGTGTTAAAATAAAATATCACACACCCAGAGTGAGTAGAATAATCCTTGTTAACAAATCAGGAACAAAACATGTTCTGGAGACTCAGGCAGAACGCAGGTCTTTTATATTTTGATACTTTGCCCATGACCTGTATGGAAATATTCTCTGAAATTGGCATAGCACATTCTGTAACAGAATTCTGTGACCTTTAGTCACCAAGACTCAATCAGAAAAGTACCTAATCCAATGTCTAGTACAGAATGATTAGGCATAAACTTGTGACCCTTTCTCTAACAGGTTCAGAATGCATGTATGAGTGGAAAATTAAATATAATTCATTCAAAGGATATAAATAAACAGAACACGGTGGCTCACACCTTTAATTCCAGCACTCAGAAGTCAGAAGGAAGGGGAATTGCTGTGAGTTAGAGGCCAGCCTGTTGTATTTAGTGAGCTCCAGGACAGCCATGGATTCTTAGATCTTGTCTCAAAAACAAAAATCAAAAGGAAGAAATGACTAACGGTATTTAGTCAACCCATATATAATGAATTATCCGTATTTTCATGAAAGGAAATTCATCACTGTACAACAGTTAGCCAAATGCTAATCTCTCAGTTGAGGCCAAACTTTTGCATTGTCTTAGATAGTGAGTTTTATGTTAATTATGTGCAGATAAAACTAGGTAAGAAGGACATGGAGCTGCCTCCTTTGAAGTGTGGACTTTCTGAAACAATGCCAGTTGATCCTTATGACTTGCACATTAGTGGACCCCTACATGATTAAAGATTAAACTAACTAGTATTGCATCATATGAAAAATACCGAAGAATGAGCAAATAACCTTAAGCCTTAAAAATGCTTAAGGTTAAAGATTAAAGTTTCGAAAAATACTCAAAAATGAGGGAAAAATTAAACACTAACTTTAGTCTTAAAAGACTAGTATTCAATCAAAAGTCACCATCAACTGGGAAATAGAAACTGCTAAACTATTTGCTATGCATGATTTTATCAATATTTAGACAGTTTGATCTCATGGGTGTTTATACTATATAGCATTGGATTGTATAATTGGCTATGTATTTTAACTAAAAAAAAACTGTAAAAGGTACAGAGAATATCTGGCTTAGAGCACTTTTAAAAAAAAATCACATACTCCACAAAGTTGCTTCTCTTTGTTTATTTTGGTTTTCTAAACTGAAATGTGATTTAGCCTTGTTTTTAGCAAGCAACTTTAGCCATCTCTCCAGTCCACTTGACACGTTTTAATTCTGTAGTTTTTAATGGGACATTTAATAAGG